GACGTATATATATATATATATATATATATATATATATATATATATATATATATATATATATATATATATTATATTTTCTTTTTTATCAAAAAAATAATTGAGGTTAATATTAATTAGAACAATGTGTTTTAACTAATTAGAGAGGACAATTATATTGGTTTTTAGAGATAATTTAATGAAGTTCAAAGCCATATTTAAATCTAGTTTGTACTATTTGTTTGTGAATATGATGCTATATTCTTATAAAAATCAATTAATTTGAGGGTCTCTAACTATTAATGTCCTAAAATCCAAAAAAATCTATGTATATTAAGTCTATAATAAAATTTAGTAAAAGGAAAACATTTAGCTGAAGAAGAGGTTTATATGTGAACATTTGAGTTTCATGCACTAAGTAATAATATGTTTGGGGTTTAGATTAAGTAGTAAGATGTTTAGGGTTTAAACTAAATAGTAATATGTTTAGAATTTTATCCGTAAATCTATTATTTTAAGATTTTTGGTTGAAATTAGACTTAAAACATTTATGTAATTTCTCCAATAGATAAGATTATATAATATTTGAAAAGGGATGTAACTCACATGGAATTAATATAGATGCGTTCTTTTAAGTTGTAATATTATACTCTCTTATTGTTCTAACTAGGATAATTTATATTTTCGGTCAATACCGTGTTCCTGTTTTATATATATTCATATAGATCCGATTAATAATAAATATTTTTCCTTCCTAAATTATGTAAGAAAACTGTGTATTAAAAAGTATCAAACAGTTAAAAATATTAAAAAATGTGAAAGAAAGAAAATAGTTAAAATGGAAACAGCCAATCAAAGTTTTCAGTGAGATTAATGAAAACAAATAATACCAAACAGTAAAATCATCAATTTCTGGTAACTTAAAATTGTTGAAAACTATCGTATAGATATTGTTGTATTGTTGGTACTTTCTTACAGCTAGAGTAATAAAAAAACATTTAAAATACATTCGATAATTAATGACATAAGTTATTTTCCTTTTTCTTTTTCTCTTAAATAAGATAATTAATACTTCCTTTCTAATTTTTTTTTCTTTTCTCATCTATAAATTCATCTCCTGTCTTTCTTTTCTTCTCCATCTGCCAATCAGAAACCTCGGTAGAAGGGCTATAGTAAAACTTCTCACGACATTCACATCTCAAAATTTGTCGCTGATAAACAAAATCATAATCTGGTTAGTTACATTGTTAATTTACTAGGCACATTCAAGCTCTTAGGCCAACTTCAATTACTTATAATCATTTGGCCACATATCCCAATTTATATATTAAATATTATGTCATCCGTTTATACCAAAATTGCCAGGAAATGACTAAATTTAATCATGGGTTAGGAAGTTGAAAATAGAAAGGTTCTTTTATACTGAAATTCACATTGAAAACTAAAATAGAAAATCATTAATAACAGTTTTAATACAAACTTTCATAATAGTTTATGAAACATATAAAATCCATTCCAGGGAACTTTTAGGAGAGAAATTATGTGATCATGATCAATGGGCAGAGTGTTGGGTCTATAAAGTAAGAGATTCATTGGGAAAATACAACACTGCTAGTCCAACCTCAAAGGATTGGTACTATTTTATTCAAAACTTTGAGATAATGGGTTAATGGATCTTTATCCTTATATGATGTTTTACTTTTTCATTTTTATTTTTATCCAATGTGAAACTTAAATTCATACTTAGACTTCTAACACACAAACCAGACCATCTTGTACACAATGTATTTGAGATGTAAACCCAAGATATCGAAATATTCTAAGTTGTTCATGTCTGATCAACAAATAATGCAACAGAAGAGAAGAGAAGAGAAGAACAGAAAACTATGATGTAGCAACCATAATGGACTATACAGATGGAACATGAGTGGATGAAGTATGAGTTACTCAACAGAGTGAGATACTGTAAATGGAGTGAAAATGTACAGTTGACAGTCGTGGATATCAACTCCAGCACCGAATGATGACACTGCATCTTCAGTTACTAACTTGTGCTGCAAGATAAAAAAAGCATATAATCTGCTCTTATATAAATAGGAAATACAGACTGACATAAGAAGTTTCATGCAAGTAGGGTAGCTTACCTGCCACAGATTCCTCACAGAGACATGAATTCCAGATTCAAGCCCAAGTGCTTCCCATGAAGCTGTTATAGTGGCAACTTTTGAGCATCGATTCCAGAAAGCAACAGCCAATCGATTTCCTGACAAAGGACCGGCCCAAACCTGTAAAGATGTAAAAGTGAAGTCTAAATTTACCACATAGTACCATGTATATGACTTTTAACTTCATGTTAGTGACATACTTTCTCATATCAAGACCTAAAGAGGAACGTGTTCAGTAGTCTAATTCTTAAATATCAGACATCAAAATAGTTCATAGCAGTAGTCTGTCTAGTTGTTCTTCATTCTTTTTATGGTAAGTTGATCCACGAACAAGTGAAGTTTCAAAGATAAATGATCACACGTGAAATTAGAATGAAATTAACTTCATCCAAGATGAAAGATACATATTCCCTGGCTCCAGATTGACGCTAAAAACGAGCAAAGAATGATGCCTCGAGAATTGTGAAGTGATAGGTCCTTGGTAAACTTTGATACCATTGTTATGATCTTGAGGAGAGATACACCGGAGAGATTTAGCACTAATGAACTATGAGAAAACCTATGTAAATGATAATAACACTATCTTTAACCCAAAACTTAAAGGTTTTGATATCATGTTCAAGTTTAAGGAAGATAGAACCGTTAAGCTGAAACCGGGTGTATATGAGAGAGCATGAGTGCTTTGTTTTATGGTCTATATATATAAATGCTTTGTAAACTTTGAACAGCTTTGGTTCTTGAGTGATGTTAATTTCCATTCAGAAAGTATACGAGATTCAGTAGAAGGAACAGTCCACTCCTAAAGGAGCAGTCCAAATAACCACTTAAGTCTCATTTGGTTTGAAAATATATATTTTCTTTTCACCTTTCATTAGAAAAAATGACACTTTTTGCACTTTTGTTATATAAATCTATGAAAATAAAGACAAAAAAATGAAATCAAGGTAACATTTTTGTCACTAAAAGTGAAAACATAAAAAAAAAACTTCAAACTAATTGAACCCGGAGTAATCTGATTAAATCTAATCCAATTAAATCAACATCAGAAGCACGACTACAATGAACCTCTAAAACAAAGCCAAAATGTTCAGAATATATTACCTGTCTGCAGCCATCAACACCAGAAGCTTGAACTTTCCTTCCCTGGACTCCAAGTGGGTCTGTAGAGATACAAAATAATCAGTATCCTTACTTATCTTATGTTGAGTTTATTGAGAGAAGAGGTTCACTAGAGAGACACAACACTAATAAGACCTAAGTCCAATCATATAAGGGATTGACATCACTTTCAACCCAAAACCTAAAGGCTATGGGTTTATGGTCTTCATCCTTGTATGATGCTACTTTTTCATTTTTACCCAATGTAAGACTTAGACTCACTTGGATTCCCAATACCTTAGTCACGATAGATGAAAAAATTTACTCCTTCCAATCTTTTACAAAAGAAACAACTAATAAATTTCATCAAGTCCACTAAAAATAGTGAAGTTAGTTAGCTCTAATTAATAATGTCCTAAATTTTACTTTTATTCTAGAAACACTCTTTGAAGTAATTGGTTTAAGTAGGAGTTACATTAAATCAAGCTATACCTAATTTAAGAAACAAATTTTCCATCAGTAAGTAAAACTTGTATTGATAATAGACCCATAAATACATAAAAAATGTGTATCTGTCTCAGATTCTCAATAATTGAAGGGACAACCAAATTACTAATTAATACATCTTAAATTTATCCATTTTATGTATAAAGGACAGTACTAAGTAACAAAAATAAACACATTGGCACCACATACAGGGAGTTATGCACCAACTTGGTAACAATAATAGAAAGCAGTAGTACGACCTTGATTGATGGCAATAACTTCTGCATTGCTTAAAATCTCAAGTGTTTCAGCAGTCAAATTTCTTACATCACAGCCGATCAATAGCGGTGCCTGCATGCACATGTTCAAAATTTTGAGCATGTGAAAGTTTCAAATATAAAATGTGTGTATCAGTCTTTGCAAGCTTAGCTTATCTTTATGCTTTATTCAAAAGATATCATGGTTACGCCAAACTGAAAGTGAATTCAGACGACCCCTGTTTTTTATTTTGTTTACACCAGAGAATCAATTTTGCAACCGTGCCTGCTATCCTAAGATCTCGAATTGCTGTTATTTGAGGGTCAGCATATAGAAAAACATTTGATGACAGACTGATATCAAGAGATGACAAATTCAGCACAGATGAATGCCAGGGAGAAAACATAGGAAGTAGGGGCTAAGGTCAACACCTTCGCTAAAGCCCACATGCTGAAGTGAGCACGGTATTCCTGGTAAGTCATTCCACCATTTCCAACTTCCAACATATCTGGATCTGTCCGGTAAAATGAGGTAAGTAGGAATGCTTCTGGTTTTCCTAATATTTTCAATAAAATTTCAAGAAAGACAAAATGTGTACCATTCCATCCCCCAGGACCAGCATATGCAGCCCACTTATCATTAAGATCGGCAATGGTTGTCATGCTAAACAACAAGAATAAGAATTAGACAACCATTCAAACAGATAATTTTGTACAAGAATTCTCCAAATTGATCAAATGTTAAAACTTTGTATCGAAATGACAGCTAGTTTTGGAACTGTACCTATGGTTTGCCAAGAAGAACAAATTATAGAATGAGTCTTGTAGTAATAGTTACACAAAAGATCAAGAGAATGTATTAGATTATTTCATAGGGTCAAATCTCAAACAAAATTGATGACTGCTGCAGGATAACCCAGATTCCACGTTAAAAAATGTAGTACCTAACTCTATGTTAGTGTAATCTTTATCATCATGATTCAACAGTGTTACTTTATGACAAATAGTCATGAGCCTCATGTCAATCACTATTTACATACACATTCTTTATAAATCTTTCATGAACTCTAGGATCTCAAATAACTGCACGCTAGAGTGCATCTAATTTCTTAAGTCCAGCTGCTATGTGACAAGAAGATAGAACTTGGCAGGGTAGGATTATTTGATCTTCAAGTAATGAACTCACTAATGTTCTTACTCCTCAGAGACAGAGCATTCACAAGCATGTGAGTAGTCTTAAATCTTTTCCCTATTCTGGCGGCTAGGAATAGATCGGAAAAATACAATCCACCCTTTGCGCTCATTTATCCCTACACTTTCCCCTTCCTACTCATTGCTAAAATCTTACGCAAATTTTGATTTCTACCAAGCCAAGGGCAGAAAAAAGGTAACCATTACACCTTTAAATATATTCCAATCATCTGTTACCATGTGCTCAATTCCGATGCAGTAATAACTGAAGACTAATTGGACCCCACAACTTTTGCTGGTTTAATGCTATTATCTTTCGTTAAGCCATGAGCATTCCAAATACAATTTTAAAGGTACCACTTATAAATGAAAGTCTAAAGCTTTAACCTTGCCCACGAATCATTGATATCATCAGTTGTGCGCCAGCTGTTACCTACCTTGTCTGCCCACAAGGCAGGGTTATCAACGCCCCTGCAAAATCAAAGGTATTCCCTGAAGAATTCTGTCAAACTAAACCGAACTAAGCTCATATAACAAAATACCAAAAATGCTTTATTACCATTCACACAGTGAGTAGAAAATTTTGCGTCCAGTTGCATTGAGAGCATCACGCATAGGAGGATAACTGGAATCAAAGCAACCACATTGGCTCAATTTATTGTATAAGGTGTAACAACTAATACAAATACAGTGATACAAAGATGAGAACACACCGTTCTTTTGGAGGGATACCCAGATTGTAACAGTTGTCATACTTCAAATAATCTACACCCTGGTAAAAGGATTGAATTGAGTTAAAATTCCTGATAAGTAAAGAAAAATATAACTTGCAACAATTCCAATTTATGACAATGTTACTAAGATATTAAGTTACAAAGCAATGATTTCAAAAGGAAGCTCAAGATACATTACTGACATGATTTTACAAAGATGTGCCTACTTTTTTTATTTTGGTTTCCCAAAGGTATCCTCCTTTAGAAGCAATCCTGATTGAGACACGGTCAACACTATGTGAACATCTTTCTCAACAGGGATTCTAATTACTGGTTCACTACATTGTAGGGACTAGCACTTTTCGCTGGACCCAACCCCTCTGTTGGTTCTCGATGCTTAATATTAATCAGTGGTGGATGCACTTCAAACATCGTCTTCATGAAATATTTGATTGATTGATAGTGGATGTATATTATTGCAATTTACATTTCCAATTAAATATTTGACATATTTTAGTGCAGCCAACTAAACTTTATAGTTAATGCATCAGGCAGTTAGTCTGATTTCTTGTATTACTTGAGAGATTTTAAATCTAACTGTGCCATTTAGACATAATGTTTATGACAGTATAGGTCATTGCTAAGTTCTGTGAAGACATTTCAACAAACAAATTTCAGTGAAGTACTATGATACTATCTGATCTACAATGGCATAATTTTTCCATTTGTTTTCTCAAAATGTAGAAGCATTCCATTAAATGGAACAATTTCTTATCTCATCCAAATTTTGGGGTATATGAAGATGCCATTAGAAATTCTTATCTAAAGTTTGGTTTTGTTTTGTAAAATGACAAATTAATTCCATAAAAGATATATGAGGCTGAGCTAAACAATTTATAGCAGATGTGCTACACATACAGAATGCACATGATAAAATAGAAATGAATGAGGAGTACTTATGTTCTATGGACCCAACGAACTCCCTAGACATGAATAGTATCTGATACTGTTTCACAAATCATGAAAATGAGAAAATAGAATCTAACCCAAGAGGCAAATAAATCTGCATCATCAGTTTCATGGAAAATCGATCCTGGCCGGACTTGACATGTAAAAGCCCTAATAACAGTGAGATATGTACAAATATTAAGAGATTAGATGATCAGTTAGTCACAATCAACACGAGTGACCTTTCTTTAAGAATAAATTGTTCAAACATCTAGCTTGTTGAAACATCATATTACCCAGCATCTGAATATATGCCAAGCTTGAGTCCCTTTCCATGTACATAATCTGCAAGAGCTTTGATTCCAGATGGAAATGTCTTAGGATCAGGAACAAGTTGACCCTGCACTTCCACACCCAATACAGTAAGGAGGAACATATATTAAAGAACGTTCAAAACAGACTTTTAAACTTTGATACATAACCATTTACTCACATAGAAAATAGGTAGTGCATGTGACCATGAATAACATACATGCTTCCTGCTTGATTAAACAAATATGCAAGTGGAGTGCAAAGTTGGAAGCACAACCAATGTATACTTTAAATCGTTACACAACAACAACTTTAGCCATGATATAACAAATACCAATTGAAACAGATTTTCTTCATCTAACTGAACTTCCGGATTGATAACACTGAAAGCCAACAGTTATGTAAAATAATAGATGATAACCATAAAGTCGATCCAGTAAGATCGAAAGCAAGAGTTTAACTAACCTTCAGATTTCTTGTCACAGAAGACCAGCAATCATCTGCAAATTTCAAATTGTGATATCAAATAAGTATAAATAGATGGCACGCTGTAAGAAAGTTCATTTTTGAACATACATGAATAGTACCTATGTTGACATATACATAACCTAAATCAGCCAATCCGGTTGATACCAGTGCATCAGCTGGAAGGATACAATACATATAAGCATTAGTAGAACCGAGATAAATATTGAATTACTGCTATTTAGTATATGAACCATAATGCTTGCAGTTAAACAAAAATACGCCTTTGGAGATTATAAATCCAAAATTACAATACAAATCATTATCCGATGGAATGCAAATTTCACAATAAAAACAAAAG